AGCACCCAAGCTAATAACTGGGCGAACCTGTGAAGGTACCATTTAGCTCAGAATAGCCCTACCTTTTCACCATCTTTTTTTTTTTTCTTATTTTCTCTGATTTTATTTATTTATTTTTATAGAGACTATTTAGCTAGACGCTGCACAGTGGCGCAATTGGTAGAGCTGTTGGCTCTTGCCTGGAACGTTAGATGGAGATAGGCACCAGCATCCCTCCCGACCCCACCAAGGGACAAGGGTGTAAAGAAAATGGATGGATGGATTTAGCAGGAAATATAATAGCATCTGATGTACCTGAACTACTTAACAAAATGGCAAAATAGTCCTTTAGCCACGACAGGAAGCTAGAGCGCTATTGCTAGCTTTAGCATTGGTAGCGGCTAAATGGCTGATAGTCATGGTATTCTCCCAGTGCTTTAAAGCATTCTTTATTAGCCAGCACTGTCAACACTACACTGCATGCATGACCTAACTTCTTTCTGGCTTGAAAGTAAGATTGTTACACACAGATAAAACAGCTTACAACTCATAAAAAGATTGTAAAATGTTATTTCATCAGATAAAGTCACATGCTGACAGCATGATACATCTACATGTTTTGGCCTTCCCCTTTGTTTAATATTTGTGACATGTAAAACCTTGCTTTCCTGTCATTTTTTTTCTTACCTGCCTTAAAAGGCAACGCTTCAAACATCCATATTAGCTTCTTTCGCAAAGCAGTTAATTGAGGCTGCAAAAGCAGCAAAACGTCTCAGGCTTGACCTGAAATCTTTTCTGAATGATGGAAATTAATTTCTTAGAGGCCGGATATTGCTGTGAGCTGTTTTTTTTTTTCTCAGGCTGTGTGTTTATTTCGTCACACAGTTACAAGCTTACTCTCCAAACTTGTCTAGTTTTGATTTCCTGCCTCATCCAGCAGGATGGGAGGAGGCATGACTTCCTCCCATTCATCACCCAGCTATCTAAGTTTAACAAAAATACATATTTTAGCTATTTCACTGACGGGGAAACTAAACAATGTTCCAAAGATTAACAACTGAACAGTCAGCTCTGATATCCAAGTTAACATAATTACCATGACAACGCTGTTGCTTCAAAGTGCAATGTGCAACATTATCACTCTGGTTGCATTGAACTTTTAACTACCCAATCACATTCTGGATGCTGAACTCTCCAAAGTTTTACTAAGCTAAAAGTAAATATTATGGAACACAAAAAAACATTAGTAACCATCCTACAGTGATTCACCAGGAAGTACACGAAAAAACATTTGATCTTACCTACCACTGATTACTTGAATCCTATGAAACAAGTGGTGTAACCCCCCCACCCCCCCTAAATTCTGAGAAGTTGATGCAAATTACACACTTCATAGCATCTTTAAATGTAATATATTTACAAATCAGGGCTTCCATCCTGTACAGAACTCTCTGGATGCAATATCCCATCTCATAGATATTTAAAAGAGTAGGATTATGTATTTTCCAGGCATCTAGAGCCATTTTATAGCACAATCAAATAACTGTTACCTTCAGTTGTCATAAAAATGCTTCATGTATCAAATATGACTTGGAAGAAATTTGACTTTCTTATTTAACTCCTTGAAATTGGGCCTCTGTCTCTTGAAAAGTTCCTGCTCCTTCTGAGTCTCCAACTTCAGGAAGTCAACATAACACGGCTCCTCTATTAACCACTAACACATGTACAAACCGATCAGGTGTGTGCTTATCACGCCTCTCCGCTCCGCCGTTTCTCCACACTCGTGTTTTTCTGCAGAGTGGTGTGTGTTTGACCCCACAGACCCGATGTGTGGCATTTGGATGATCAGGTGTTTGCATGCTGGCTGCGCCCCGGTGGACCGGTATGTGCTGTGTCAGCCGGGTCATTAGGTGACAGGGAATCCATAGAGGACGAGCATGGAAACTTCTGTGTGAGTGGAGGAGAAAAACAAAGAGCGGCATTTTGGTGCGTCTGCCTGACAGACAAAGTACTGAACACAAAGTGGAAGGAGAAATTCTTATACAAAGTTGCTGTTTTCATATTGTTCTAAATGCAGCTTTTATTTGTTACTATGTTACCAACCTAAACTGTTACTTACTGGTTAAATTTAATTATAACCTTCCACCAAATATCTAACCTAATGTTGATCATGACAAAATTTTCACACAACTTTGTTGTAGACACAACTCAAGCTGAGGATGTTTTAATGTTTCCTCATCAAATCAATCGATTCTTTCTGTTCCAGTGCAGTTTTCTTTTTTCTTTTTTTCCCCCCAACTCTAGAGGCACTGAATCCACAATCTTTGAATTTATTGACCCTGGTCAATAGTTTACTAGGTATGAAACCAAAAAAGTAGAATATGTTGTTGTTATTTTGCCGTATCCGTCATATTACTTGAACATGGCATCAAAACAACAATTTGTCACAATAACTTCTGGGACAATTTATCATCCAACATACTGAATCGTTATAGTTGTAGACTATCTTTGTTTCAAATTGAGGAGTTTTGGCTAAAACATTTACAGACATTAAAGGTGAAATGAATATATTTTGTACAATTTTGGTTTAATTACAACTCTGAATATGGTGGGGGGGCTTTCAGTAAGTTAACTTTTTTTTTTTTTTTTTTTGAGTGAATACTCCAGTTAACGATTAATCAATTACTAAATCAATTGACTGTTATTTCAATAAACAGTTACAGTAATCACGATTAATTCAGCCCTGAAATAGAGATGACTTGACTGTGAAACTTCAACATTTTAAATGGTCGGCTTTTATTTCCCTCCAATAATTTTAGTTAGAATTTACATTATTCTACATAATTGCCGATAAAACCTTAAAAAAAAAAAAAGTCATCGCAGTAAAAAGATCAGCTCACAGGGTGAAAAACACATCCATTGTTAGGAAAAACCCAACTCGACTGGATCAATAGAATAATACTCACAGACAATAATCTGCTTTTTTCAAGCTGTGGGCACAAAAACACACTGATGGTTCCAATAACTGGTGAAACGTTAATTATATTGGACATGGAGTCCACCAGCGGTGGCTGAGCTGGTGGACTTGAATTGTGTCCCATGACAGCTGGCTGTGGGAGACATTGAGACTGTTGTTCTGCGAAGCGGTAAAGATAAATGAAGCATGCTGTCCAGAGAGGGAGCAATCGCATTAACTCATTGTTTATTGAGTTTTGTCCAATCAGAGGCCAGAATCACTCTGTTCTCTGTTCCTGCAAAGTGTGTTCAGACAACTGGAAGGAACTGTTCACATGCTTGGACTCTCAGGTCTTCTAAGAAACTGTAAACATGGAGGCGTGATGTTTTACTTAGCTTATCAATTAATCATCAATCATTTATTGGTATCTCTGATCTACACTGTTTCTGTGGAAGTTGGGTATTTCCCATGTTTAGTTTTCATTCGTTTGTGTGCCATGATGTCCGACACAGCTGAAGAACACACACACACACACACACACACACACACTCTAGCTTTGTCTTTCAGTTCAGTTTGGTTAGATGGAAAAATAACTTTTTTTGTGGTTGTTTTTTGAAAAACGGTAGTTCTGTGGATGTTTTATTATGTTGCATCAAATTGCCAAAGAAAACAGGATTCATGCTGTGGAGACAGCAGCTTCAGTTATCACAGTGAAAAGCTCGTCTAGTTCAGCCAGACAGATGCAGCTCAGTGCGGCGTGTGTTTGGACTCGCCTCACACATGAGCTGCTGTGGACAACATGGCAGCATTTCAGGAAGACGAAGCTGAAAACCTAGAAATGACAGGCTGTCATTATAGCAGCATGTGGTAATTACGCTGTCTGTGACCCCATAGCAGCTACCATAAATGCCACAATGGACATGGCAATTAAGTAAAGATAATTTACAATTTGGATTTGGATCAAATTATTTTCATCGGTTGGAGTGGACCACTCAAAACCTAAATAAGGGTCTCTGTGTGTCCTTAAAAAGTCTTAAATTTGCTAAAATTAAGGGATTAAATTATTATTATTTTATGTAAGTTGCCCTTAAATATGTTAATCACAGGTCTGTTATTTGTAATTTATATTATCATATTTCCCCCCCCCTCTTTTTAGGGACTTTTCTGTCGGGCAAACGTTTGAGTCACACACACGTATTCATTTCATTCTGTGACTTGGGATGGTTGAGGCTAACTAGTAGTTAATATATCCTTGCTAACTAGCTCACTGGCAGCTATCTCTCTTACCAATCCATGCGACGGTAGGTGCACTCTGTGCAATAAGGCTCAGCACTACGGGGGCGGAGGTTGTAGTGAACATCACAAAAATATGCAATTTCCTGCTGTAAATTTCTGTTTTGATATGTCTTAAATTCCATTCATTGTGGTCTTAAATAGTCTTGAATTTGAATTGAATTGGTGAAACCCTGCAAATCTAATTGAGAAACCACACAGATCTTTGTAATACCATCATTGCGTTTTGTCCAATAAGGATAAATTGTTGATAAAGTCGTAGATATGAACACATTTCCAGAGCGCTGAATCTTTCTGCTTTCTATTCTGTTGGATTTGATGTAAAGCCGATCAGATTTCACTGCAACTCAAACTCAGCCATAGAAGCTAGCTGACACTGGATCTGAGGTAATTAGAGTCCTTTATTCGGCTGGTTTAATGGGCAGAAAAATCCAGCAGTAATAATAAAAGGCAGCTCTTACATAATCGACCAATCACACCTCAGCGACTGTGTGTCAACCAATTAGAAGAGAGATGGATAAAGGGGTCTGCTCTCCCCCTTCTGTCAGGTCACAGTGGCATCAAAGCGCGCTCAAATTATTGTTGCTATGGTTACAAGTTGTGCGACCATTTCTCCAGTCAACCACTGCTTGAGGGTTAGAGTTTATACCCTGCTATGACTTTATTTGCCCCCAGGGAGGGAAGAAGGTGAAATGTTTCTCTCAGGCTGTATGTGACGTCTCTGTGGGTTTGATGTGTGTCCATCCTCCTGTCCTCCTCCCTCCATCTTTAGAGTGCTGCTCCGTGACCCTTCTGACCCCGTGACGCCGACTCTTCCATCATGTCTTCTGAAGCCACGTCCATCCAGGAGTCTCGACCTGTGACCCCTCCAATGGCCTCCCCAAAATCTCCAAGTTCACCAGGTAGAAAATGAGTTTATTATTGTAGATTACGCTTAATGTACCAATAATGGTGCAAAATTTTCTGTTAACACTTTAGCCCTTATGCTAACTCTGAAAACATTTAGCATACTTTGCTTCATTTTTTATTTTTCCTAAACACTAATTTACTTGCCTGTTTGATAAGCTTTGAAAAAAAATGTATGTCTGTATTGAAGTTTTGGTTATCAGCTTAGCTAATTCTGTGTGATATTTGTTTATGTAAAACCTTTTCATTCATTTTCAGAGTCTCTGCATCTTCCAACCACCAAGTTCAGACAACGCTCACCTTCCCCAATGAGAGACTTTCTCATCCCCAGCCCTCTGCCCACACGCAGGAACAGGACCAACTCGGCGTGAGGACACACACACACACGCACACACACACAAATATAAAGTTGTAGGTACTATCCAGATAGAACATGCAGCTGTTATGTGAAAGTTTAGTGTGAAACATTTACTTTAGTTCCTCGACAGCGACACAATGATGCTGATTAAATATGATAATCAGGGAGCCGTGAAAATGTTTCTGCACGAAGTCCAAACTATATCAACTAACTCTGTTACTGTTGCTCAAATGCAACATATGTTAACATTCAGCTTAACCTTCCTTGTGTACTTTTCTTTCATCTTTTCTCTTCCTCTACTTCTGACTGTCGTCTCTGGTTTTGCTTCACTCCTCAAAGCTGCGCAGCGCACAGTGACCAGCTTCACAGGCTGGAGCTGGAGGTGTTGGTTTTTCAAAATAAAGTACATTTTAACATTTCATGATACTTAAATTAATTTCACACTCTAATTATGGTTAGTATAAGTGCCCAAATATAGGCTGCATGTAATATACTGTACATTGTTTTAACATGTATTTTTTAAAAGATCTTCATCTTGAAGGTGAAACGGCTTTTATTTTGCCATGGCAGTGTGCCACGATCAATTACCAAGATTTATTTATTTATGTTTTGAATCTGAACAAGCTGATGAAGTCAGAGGTACCGTCAGGTCCACTGTGATACAGACTGCTGCAGGAGATCCTTCCTGTCCTCAGCCGTCTCTGAAGAAACCTGGATAGTGTGACTTCTTAAAACATCCAGGTTTTCTTTACTTTTCTTTTTTTTTTATTAATAAAGTCTCTTTGGATTCAATTTCCTGACATTTAAAGACAAAACTTCAGATTCCTACTGAAAATGCAACTTTCTTTTATTTGAATTTGAAGTAATTTTCAGTCACTTGAAATGTCCTAATAATGTGGAATTTAAGAATGTACTTGAACCACTGCAACAAACGACATCAAGAGATTAAGCCACAGATTAGAAGCACAGGTGACATAAACAAAGACTTAAAACATGTATATAAATGAACAACCTGTAATATCTCCATGTATCCCCTCCTGTCTTGTCCTGCAGGTCGGTCCGGGCAGCAGAGGGCCCCGTGTTTAATGGAGTGTGTAAATGTTTCTCCCGCTCCAAAGGCCACGGCTTCATCACACCTTCAGACGGAGGCAACGACATCTTCGTCCACATCTCAGAGTAAGTGTGTGTGTGTGTGTGTCCTGCTTCGCCACCTATGACGAGGTGCTTTGGTTTGAATCACCGTCATCCGGCCTCAGAAACACACACACACACAGAGCAGGGAGGAGTGTGTAGGAGGACCACCTTCACCCCAATGCCTTTGTTTTCAGCCTCAGATGTCAGAGGAGCACACACACATACACACACACACACACATACCCTCCCCTTCCACCCTATGGATGTGAAATAAAAACATTCAGATGAAACCTAATGGAACGACTTGATTTCAGCAGAACAGATGAGAATCATCTCAGAGATAAACTGACTCTGAGCAGGAAGCTTCTGGTTTAAACCGGTTCCATTCCCCTGATTTATTACTTGTAAAGCTCATTTCCTGACCTTCAGGGAAGCAACATTTATTAAAAGATCAAACGGTGATCTGGAATTTCTGCCAAGGCAGACTGATGAGATAAACAGGAAAATTTAAGTGATTTCAATTCATTACAGTGTTATACAACTGTTGTGTAAATGTATTGTATAATAATAGTTGATATTTAACACTGCAACTGGGAGGCATCTAAAATGTTCAAAATAAATAAACAAAATAAATAAAATGGATACTGAAATTTCTGTAAACCGAGACACGAGAAAAACTAACCATCATGCAAATGGAAATGATGGAGCTCATATTCACTTATGTGGTTAATTGATTTCTTATTATGGCAAACTTAACCCCGAGTTAAGCTTTTCATGTTTGTTTTGTTTTGTCTTCCAGTGTTGAGGGCGAGTACGTCCCGGTGGAAGGAGACGAGGTGACCTACAAGGTCTGCGCCATTCCTCCCAAACACGAGAAGGTCCAGGCGGTGGAGGTGAACATCACCCACCTCAAACCAGGCAGCAAGCATGAGACCTGGGGGGGGCACGTCATCACCAGCTGAGCGTGCGGACCCTCACCATGGAGACGGGGGGCGGGAGGATTTTAAAGGTGTGAGTGGAGGATACTGTGGGTGAATCAGGTTAAGTCCCAGCTGTCTCATCTTCTTCTCACTGAAGTGTGAGCCGCTGCCCGTCGGCTCCGTCTGGACAGAACTCGCTTTTCTTTCATTGGATCTGAAACCTCAAGCGGAGCTGAACCCACGGCTCTCGTTATTCCTGTTGAACCTCACAGAGAAGCGTTCGGAAGTGTTTGGAATCATAAAACACTCAAAGAATGTCGGAGTGTTTCCACTGATCTGACAGAAGCATAAATCCATAATCATGTCATGTTTGGGTGAAATAAAAAACTTTCAACAATTCCTGTCTGCTGGTTTATTCTTATTTTAATAGATAGTAGCTTCATTTTCATTATGTGTTCAAAACTCTAATATTCTGTTAAGGTCCAAAACACACAAATGCAACTGCAGTGTTTCCTTTAAATAAGAAATCCAGTTACAATCTTGTGAACAAGTTTAACACAAGTAAAAACAAAAGAACACCATCGGCCTCCTGCCACTTCCTGTTGTCGTCTTCGTCTTTTCCGCCAGTAGTGATATCCTGTTTGATCACATAACTCATATGATGCACAAAGTGTTTCAATTGAAATATGATTCTGTCGATACAGTCAGGGGAAAAAAATCCCCCTCATGGTAACGCAAAAACCTTTTATCAAAGAAACTTTAGCTTTTTCAAAATAGTTTCCATTAAGCTCATTTTTCTGAATTCCAATCTGTGATTTTTTTTTTTTAAGTCAATGAAAACGCAGCTATAGTGGATGTTGCGGGGTTTTTTATTTTTTTTAATTTTTCGAGTAATTTGCAGTTTAGCATTTTGTAATGATATAGGAAACTGGTGATAACATTTGAAATATTCCAGTAGAAGTCCAGTTGGACTGAAAGCTCTTTCCTCTGGATCAATCAGGAGTCAGCCGATGCTCGCTGCAGGGCGCCACCCACCTGTGGGTGCCGTGGAAACCCTCTGGAGCAAGTCGAATGTTGTTCTGGGGAGACTGTTGTCTGAGTTTTCCCTCTGGGATCTGTAACCACAGCAACTCCCAACCTTGTCTAGGAGAAAGATGATGACTCCATGAAATCCTGTCTGATGCTAAAAGTCATCCTGTTGTTCCTTCATGGCTGCTGTTAGAAGCTTGTTGATCACCGTGTTGTCACGGAAACATGCTGGCATTTTCCCAGAAAGCTCAATAACCTTCTTGTGTCTTTCCATCCTGTAGACGGTAAGAATGCAGCGGAGCAGGCCTGGAACACAGCAGCACTTCCTTCCTTCAATGATTTACACTCAAAGACAAACTGTTGGATTTAGAGGAACTGAGCTCTGAAGAGATTATAACTAACAGCTGAACATGGATCCTTTTCATTTCATTTCCACTTATTCTGGGTTTATTTTTCCCCTCTTGTTTAAATTTCTGGTGGATCTCGTTATCAGCAGCAGTTCTGCTTCTAGGAATGTGAACACATTCTTTTCTAGATCTCCCTCCCTCTCAGCCTGGTTTAGTGGTTCTGTTTCTGCTTTGTTGCACTTTTTTTTCTAGCTCAAAAAAAGCGAATTTTCATAATCACCATTTAAGATCTGCTCCTATTGTACTCAAGTCATATTTTACTGATGAAATTACGCCTATCTAAAACATTTTAAGTACCTAATCAGATGAAATCTGAGGAAGTCTATATGTTTTCATAACGCTGTTTGTGTTTCGCTTTCATCCGCAGCGTTCAGTCAGTGAGGTTCATGCTGAACACTGGATTTGTTTATTTATTGGCTGCCTTCTCTTTATGCTTTTGACTCTGGAAAACGGTCAGATCTTTCTAGCATTGTAGAGCACATGTAAGTTAGGCTTTTAAGGTCCAGAAAAGATTTCAGAAGGGCACTTTGCTGTTCAGAGGAGACATTTCAGGTGCTCTAGCTCCTCCTACTGTCTATTTTTGCACATTGCTGATAAAAAGTAACTCAATGTGTGGACTGGACAGGAGTTGCATGCCAGGCCTCTGTCATTTAGCTAGCGCTAGCTTAGTTAGCCCACTTTGCAATGTCTAACACCATAAAACTCTACACTTGGAATTAACCCTTTGAGAAAAATCAATGATCTTATTGTTATGTTTGGGTTTCCTACCTCAATAAATAAACTACATTTTGTTACTATGTTATTATGTGATAATAAACTGAGCCATCCAGTTTCCTCGGGTGTTACTGCAGACCTCTAATGTTTTTAAAAATGTGCTCACTTTGTTTGACTTTTAGTTCTTAGGATTATTTAGCCAATTTTAAACCTTATGTTTATTATATTTGCAGTTTTATTGCACTTCAAGAAAATAATTGTAGCTACTGTATTTTGTTTTATGGCTGTGTGTAATTTTT